TCTGGCCCATTTAATCTTCAACCCGCGAAACCTCAACGGTCGGATCTCTCCCAAAACCCATTTTTCTCCTTCGTCTCTTCCTTTCCACCCTCTCTCTCTCACTGCACGAAAAATGATTCAGAGCCAAAGAAGCAATCTTGAACATCTGAAATCTTCGCATGGATTGTTGGTATAACGTAAATAGTGAAGGTATTCCACTTGCCTTTTTTAGCTTCCTTTATTTTTAGGAACAAGATGGAATTTCTTTTGGGTGCTTTACTGGGTTCTGGTTGTTAGGAGAATGAATGCAAGGATTTATAGAATAGACTTGTTTAATTAAGCGAATATGGTGTTGGGTTTTTAGTCTAGTGGAAGTTTTTGTTTAATTAATCAACTTACCACCATTGTCTTTGTTTGTTGCTTAAATCAGTATAATATGAAAATTTCTCTTCTGAGTGAAAGAAATTGGCTTTACTGTATCTGACTTTATATCTATTGTGGCAATAAAATGGAAAATTATTATCTTTATTGTATGAATGGGAATGAGCATAATGTTCTTGAAATTTTTTTGCAGTTTGGAGCCTTTCCAGTATTTGTTGTTGATGGAACTGCATCACCACTGAAATCTCAGGCAAGGATCATGCGGTTTTTCTGTTCATCTGGAATTGATTCTTCGTGCTTTCTGCCCCCCCAGAAGGATGCCTCAGTTGAGAGGAACCGGGAATTCACTAAATGTGTTAATGATTGTGTGGTAAGTTGATCCTGACACCATGATCTCTATCAATTTTTGTTGGTGCAGTCCAAATTCTGATTTTTTTTTTCTTGTATATGCTTGCTTTTGTGATCGATTAACCTGGTTACTTCTTTAGATATATGGTTTTAGCAAATACCATCTTTGTAGAGCTTGCACAAAAATTTGTTACAATCAGTTTGTCATGCTTTAATCTTTTTCTGTGCACTCTTGCTTGGTCATTAGTTCATGGGAGAGATCTTGTATAATCACCTTTAACTTCTAGGTGTGAATCACATCTAGACTTGGTATTTAAAGCATGGATGATAGTTGTATTGCAAATATATGTTATCAGAAAGCTTATTTCGTTGTAGGAACTCCTTGAACTATTTGGGATGCCTGTACTGAAAGCAAATGGTGAGGCTGAAGCATTGTGTGCACAGTTGAATAGAGATGGTCATGTGGATGCCTGCATCACTGCTGATAGTGACACATTTCTCTTTGGGGCTAAATGTGTAATAAAATGCATCAGGCCCAACTCAAAAGTAAGTTGTACTGGCTTTTTATCGTGACTTAAACGACCCTTATTTCCTTTTTATTTGTCTATCGTGTTATTATCTATCCTGATAATGTGGGAAATTGTTCTGCATTTTTTTGTGTTTGTGTGTGTTGATATCAGTACGCTTTGTGGGAATTTATTTCTGTCTTGTAAGCCCTTTAAATTGTGAATATTCTGTTAGTGCATCCCCTCTTACAAATGATGGTTATGCAGTTTATTACATTAGTCAGCTAGAAATCATTGATAAGTTTGTCTGTATAGGATGGCATGTTTCTCAAAATCCTTTGAATGGGGATTAATTAATGGAGGACTAAATTGGAATAGATGAGGTGGGGAATAGAAAATGTTTGAAAAATATGCAATTCAATGGGAAATGGTTGTTTTACCTTAAGATTTTGTTGCTAGTTCCTAAGAATCTTGTGAAATTTCTTTATGTGTGTACGTATAGGTGTTAAACCTTTGCCAAATATGGGAATCTCATTTTATGCAGGGGCCATTTGAGTGCTACCATATGTCAGATATTGAAGCTGGTCTTGGACTCAAGAGGAAACACTTGATAGCCATCTCTCTTCTGGTTGGAAATGACCATGATCTAAATGGAGTTCAAGGAATTGGCCTTGAAACAGCTCTTCATTTTGTCAAAAGATTTAGTGAAGATGAGATATTGAATAAGTGCACTCTTCACTCAATTTTTGAATCTTATGTTATTTTCTGTAGCTGCGACGAGGATTCAATGATTTTATCTCATCTTGCTGGGACGATATTTCTTGTAGATTACACAATATAGGAAATGGGGATAATCCCCCTTTTCAGTGTGGAATCAAATCCAAGGATGGTATCCCAACTATTTCAGATGAGAGCTCACCAAAGAAAAAGTGTCCTCATTGTTCCTTCTGTGGGCATCCTGGCAGCAAGAGAGCTCATTTCAAGTCTTCTTGTGAATACTGTGGAACAACTAGCAATGAGAGTTGTATTAAAAAGTTGGAGGGGTTTAAATGCAATTGCCCTCCTTGTCTTGGGGTATAGTTTTCTTGGCTACCCCCTACCCCCCCAAGCCTGGCTCTTATTCTTGAACCCAGCTGCTGGGTTCAATGGAACCCAAATTGGTTTCTTTCTGTGCATTCTGGCATTTGGCTTTGCTTGAATCAGAGGAGGAAAGTTGTTTAAGAGAGGGAAGAAAGGAAGCGAGAAGAAGAAGAAGAACCAACGGCAAAAACAGAGATTGAGTTGTGCAATTCTTATGATGAATTTGAGAAGCTCGTTATAAAGTAGAGCACTCCCAAGTTTGTTCTTCCTTCTCCCTCAAACCCTTTTTGGGATTTTCAGTACTGCTCCTTCAACCAAACATTTATTAGTTTGTTTGGTTCCCCATGTGTTATCTTGTTGATTTTGTTCATTATTTCGAGCTTTTCTAAGTTTCTGTTTTCTCT